TGTGACAAAAATCTGTTATATAGTTTGCGTGGCATATAAATCTTTGTAATGTATGACAACTTGTGTAGACAGCTTGTGTGAGAGTGTATATTCGTTCGACAGTCCGTCATTCGTTTTGTGAAAAATAAAAATGTAATCAAATCAATCCGTGATATAACCGCTAGAGATTGTGGGAGGCGCGCGTACTTATTTCTACATACATAAACAATTATCCGTAATATCCGTTAAATATATTATATATATTTTACGAGCACTTTCTAATTGCATTCTGGAAGCTATCTCTGTAACAGTAAAAAATGTAGGAAAAAATTGGTAGTCTTCGCACTAATGCACTATCTGATAATTCTACTTAATCGTTAATCATATGATTTGCAACATGACTGACAGAAATGAGAGTTAATTGAATCGCATGGCGAGACGTGCTTTACATCGTGTATCGTGTGTCGTTGTCTCTGCATTGTATGTGTGACTTAACTTTATTATTATTAGTTTACCATGGATTTATTATAGTTTCGCGAAATGAGTACCTGTATCTGCCTATTTAATTGTAAGCAGAATATTCTTCATATATCAAAAATTATTATTCTTGCAGTGCTATAGATTATGTGAAAAATAAACAATAAAACCACAGAGTAGCTTGTATAGATATGTAAATAACTTGTCTGTTTAAATTACACACAAATGATAATTCCAATTTTTAAATTAATATTTTCTCAAAAGAATTTTGCTATACTATCTGACACTAACAAATTATCGCATAATGTAATGAAAGTATAATGAATCAAAGTATTTTGGAGAAAGGAAATCTATAAATTTAATTTTATTATTATTGAAATTAAAATTATAAAATGCACACAAATCGAGCAAATGCTCGTCAAATGCTAATATAACAAGCAATTCTAGAAGCATTTCATATATTTAGCTGGCTATATTTAGCTAGAAAAGAATACAATTATATACGATTATTTACTTATATTGAAGCTTTTTCCATATCACTGATTTTGGTTCTAATTCTAATATAGTTAGCATGTGTATATATGTATGTATATATTAATTACCATAAACATTAATTACCATTTCTATTTAACAAACGAATCGGTACGATAGACATATACATCATTAACAAAGATACACTCATTCTACGGCAATTTTCTGCGATTGTTTTCATTGTTTAAAGAAAAAAATATTTACTAATTCTATTTTAAGACACCTAATTGCAGCTTTATAAGTACAACAATGGCTTCTTCTACAAACTTTTTTCTTTTGTTCGTAAGCAAGTGGTTGTGACGATGCGAGAAAGCCAGCGTAGAAATGTTTCAGTTTACTATGAAACGTTACACAGCGCAAATTAAGGTGAGATGAAGGTTTCTAAACAAGCTATGTTATTTCCGGTATTTTACAATCCTGTAACAATCTTCAAAATTGTTCCATGATCTCTGCTGATAAAAGAACTAATAAAAACAGAAATATTGTTTCTCCTCAAATACTTTTTTTTACCGTTCAAAAGCGCAATACCTGCGTCTGTATTCATTATTAAAATTCATTATAAAAACTATTTTAAATTTTGTATACTTAGAATAATATCTAGAAAAATATTGCCACAATTTATTTATTTTTTTCATAATCCTTTCTTGTTATATCATTGATTGGAATACATAATCTATTTTTTTATTAGATAATATACAAATGTACAAAAACTTTCAAAATAATCAAAAATCAAAATGATTTTTCAGTATTATAAGAATTTTTATTATAATGTATATAGATTCTGAGAATGACACGCTTAAATTATAACTAAATAATACTTATTTATTCAATTTGTGTAATTATCGATATTAACTTTTCATGTGTTAGATATTCATATTTATTTATATATAATAGTTACCAACATTTTATAGACATATTAATGGACTTTAATTGAAAAACATGACAGATAAAATGTACAACATGGATATATCTTTGAATTTAATCTATGCTTTATTTTATTCTTTATGCTGTTCAACAATCTTATAATGGATCACTATCGAAAACGATGATAATTTTTCCAATAATATAATTGTCGCAAAATGAATAATAGCTATATAATAATTATATCAAAATAAATAAAATAAGAATCAAAATAAATAAAATAAAGATAATTGTGACAAAACACGTAATAATTAAATACGATTATCATACATGCATTGTTATATGCGTGATTGTGCGATGTGATATGATCGCATCTTATCATGTGTTGCCTAAATTAATTTAATTTTATCAGAAAAATATTAATAATAAATGTCGTGTTATCATAAGACTAATACATTGGGTACGAATAGTAGCAAAGTATATATATTTTTACTCTTTTTATTATACTTATAACAAATTTATAATTTATAATTCTATCAAATCTTGATTTTATTTCATTTTCTGGATACTGTTTGTTATTATTCTGTTAAATCAGATTACATTAATCAATGTTTGCTAATGTATGTTTATAATATTCCGTATGTGATGTTAGCAGGACTAAATTGATAAAGAAGAACTTATTACAATTAACTTGGCATTAAATTTAGCAACGAAAATTTTCTCACATTGTAAATAATTGCGTTTGTTGCATTCAAGATACCAAATAGAATTGTAGAGAACGTTACAAATCATGTAAGAACTATTCATTGCGTATTCGACCAAGCTATATCTGCCTATCCTTACCTACTTCATTATTGGCTTTGAACGTCCTAGAGAAAGGGTGACTTTTATCCGCTTTGCGACTTATCCGTTCGGCTGCAAAAGACGTTCACAGCCTTTCGATAACGAAAGTGAGCCAAGTAT